AAATTTTAGCAAGCAAGTCTAAAATCAACATCATATACATCTGTGGCGTCAAGAGTTCCCCTTTGATGATGAGTAGTTACACATGCCAAAAACATAAAAGGGACTACAATATACAGCACGTTGATTCATTAATATGCAGCCTGCCCCCTTTGTTCATTACACACCTCCAAATGAGCATCTTTATGAGACGAGACTGCATTTACCAAATCTAAAGAACTAGCTTTCCCTTGATTGCAATAAAGGTGTCAAATGGACAGGAGTTCAGTTCATTCAGTAGTAATGAACCAGGGCCTAAAATTAACACTTGCCAAGCGCCAAATGAGAGTAAAAATCAGCGTTGGCGAGTCGATGTAACAGTGTCAGTCGCCAGTTGGCGGGTACAACTTTTACGAATTATAACAATGCAATGAAGTAAAAACAACAGCCAGTTTTTAAAGATTCGCTGTTTCTGACATAAGCGAATAAAATAATATTTTCCGCAGACAAGATCATCGTGGTTAGCTGTTCTGTCATAAGCGACAAGAGTGAATCAAATAATAGAATACAAACGGACTGATAAGGTCAGAGCAGTGTGATGGTCAGCTTGTCCCTAGACACGGTTCTAATAACTTTTACCTGAGAAGATTTTTCTGCTTCATTTCGGAAGATTAACTTTTCCCTTCTTTATTCTTCATAACCCGAGAATGCGGCGACATATGCCTGGGGTTACGCCGCCTAAACGGTGCAGTGAAGTATAGTTTGAAAGGCTATGCGTTCAGCTGTACACAGACGCTGAGCCGCTTCAGACAGCGCACCAGTAGCGCTTCAACGCACGAAAACACACACAATTATGTCAAAATGCGGGGCTTTGGCGAGTTACCTTGTAAACGTAGTCTTAAATGACTGTAAAGGGTTGGGAGAAAATCAGATGTGTGTCAGATCCGCGTCATATGCATCAGGTTTTTAAAGAGAAGTTTTTGCAAAAAGAGTTTCATGGCCGGTAAAAAAAAATTTTGGCCGGTAAATTTTATCATGTCACCGGCCATTGGCAAGTGTGGCAAAAAGTTAGTTTTAGGCCCTGTAATGAACTATTTAATAAAGTACACACAGGCGCTGGTGTTTAATAACAGCAGTGTGAGTGTTTGAGCTGCCCGTGTCGGCGCACACAGACAGACGGGGGAATGATAAGAAAACAGAGCTCAAACTGTCTCGCAACTCCTGTATCTGTCAGACAAACATGCCAAACATTCGAGAAACAACCATATCACCCATCCAACACTCAGTGTTTGCTAGTTCACATAGTACACTGACAGTATTGACAGTGCCAGATGATTCACTCAAGCAGGGGTTAAAGCAAAAAAAAATCCTGAGCTTTTTTCCGGGGGCGGGGGGGATGGGGCAGCACATGCAAAGCATGCAATGACTGTGGCAACTTTAACATTTGAAAGGATAGTATTGCAAAGTTATTGCTTTCCTTATTTAAACTGATTTTTTTTTCATGAATATATGGTTGACCTGAAGAATGAAAGCTATATCATACACTAGGAAAATTATGAGCTATATCACTGCTTATCGACACAAGGGGTGTGACGATACACTTATGGCGCTTTTCCACTGCGTGGTACGACTCGGCTCGGCACGGTACGGCACGGCTCGGTTCGGCTCGGTTTGCGTTTCCACTGCAGTTTAGTATCACTTTAGAGTGGGCGGGATTATTCACATGTCGTTATAGTTGCGCCGCCTCTATTGCCGCGACTCCTAAAAAACGTTTTCATTCTGCGTCACCCCATCAAGCTCTCGCTGGATCTGCTCCTCTGCCATCAACGAGAGGAACGTCTGTACTTCCTCAACAGGTGGAACAGCCACTTTTTGGTTGTTAAAAAAAAGGTGCGCTCGTTCAAAACAGTTGCGTTCGATGCTTCGCTGGCTGTGCTGATTTAAAGGCTGTAACTAATGATTATTTTGGTAATCAAGTAATCTACTGATTATTTTGACAACTGAGTAATCTGATATTTTTTAGTAACACAAATAGACCTAAATGAAAACCAGGCTTTAGAATGACTGTTTATATATAAACTAACAATGAGGCAATAATAATTGTCTCAAATAAAGTAATTACATGGTTTTATTGAACAACACTGTTACAATACATAATGTAATATGCCTATACATAATATGAACATAACCAACTTGAGTACATTATGTCTTACAACAAATACCTGCAGAGTTCACTAACAGCCTGGTGACATATCACTTTACAGTGTGATTAAATGATGTTTAACTCCATTAAATGTTCACATTTGGCCACATGCAAACTCAGAAAATTTTATTTTGAAATCACGATGTACAATAAATGGCATATTTAGAAATAGGCTGATGTATTCTCCTGTGTTGGCAAAGGTTTATAAATGATTTACATTACAAATCTAGTGAGATAATGCACACTGTTTTCTAGGGATGTAACGATTCACTCAACTCACGATTCGAGTCATGGTTTTGATTTCACGATTCGATTCACAATTTTTTTTAATAAAATGAGATTTAAGAAATTATAAATTAAATGTGTCCTTTTATTATTGCTTGGACAAAATTCTGCACATTTCTTTGTGAAATTGAAATATAACACTATAATAATATACTAATATAGCACTTGCATATTTTTGCTCTTTTGTTGGATTTGATTGCTTCCATTATCCTCATTTGTAAGCCGCTTTGGATAAAAGCGTCTGCTAAATGACAACATTTAAATATAATGTAAATGTAAATAACTAAACTAAATTGAAATTTAACGAGCTGAATGAGACGCAGATTCACTCTGCCAGCAGGTGGCACTTAAAGCGTTTCCGCTGTAAACAAAGCAGCACTGCACTTATGAACTTTAATATGCTTTATAAAGAGGCAAGATGAAAAGAACAAAAAATACCATCTAAACTTTTCTAAAGACATCAAGTTCCCCTCAGACATACATTTATATAAACTACCCCTAATCTCTACGGTTCGCGGTTAATCGTTACATCCCTACTGTTTTCACAGATGAACGTTAAGCAATTCAAATTCACAGCATATGCAGAGGAAGAGTTTAGCCCTTTTCACACATACAGTCTTTACTGGTAAATTACCATTAAGAGATCATGTGTGAACAGGACCTTTTCAAAAATCCCGGTAAATTTGTTCTGGCAATCATATCATTCTTATGGAGATGACGCGATTACTCTGAGCTGTTTACAAAGCTCCGCTGCATTTTAATTAGTTTTTCTATGTAAATATGCGCTAGATGGACATCTTTGACCATTGTGCCTTGCAGCTTTTTTAACGTGTCGCACTTCTCCATTCATCAGGGCTGCGACTCTGCAGTTGGATACTATTATGCGCGTCTTGTGTTTATAAGAGCAAAAAAATTCTGATTGGCTAGTAATGATAGTTTGGTTGAGAGTGAAAACAGTGCTCCTTCTCATACCACTGGTAGGCGAACTCATGGACTCGAAAGTGATATCATGTTTTTTTTTTAATGTAGGTTTATTTTTTTCCCGCAGCCAAACGCTGCACGCCGAAGATCCGGCATGGTGCCGGAGAACTTTAAGCCCTGCTCAAGGTTCACACACACACACAAAATAATGAATCACTACTCTATAGGGCTGCCCTCGACCAAAGATTTTTCTAGTCGACTAGTAGTCGTTCATTTTTAGCAATTAGTAAACTAATCGCACGTTTATATTAATAAACCATATAATTCATAATAATGAGCCTTTAATTGCCTATAGCCTATCAGCGCTCAAGCGCATGCATAAAACTTGCCACAGCACACCGGCAGAAGTAATGATTATGAATGCGTCAGGGGAAAAAATAGCAAGACGACTGCCTTAACATTATAATTCATTGATAAGCTAGTTTTTTTCTGTATTTTCGGCTGCAGTGATGAAGTCGACGACACTTTCTATAGATATATTTCTCATGTCTGTGAGGCAAGCACAGTGTTTCGGTTCATTTTTTTCAACGTGCTCAAGTTCACAGAGACCTAGATGGCAGAAAGCGCACCCTGTTTGCTTTCATTATTTTACAAAAGCACAACGTTCTGTTATTGTGAGTGCACACAAATAAAAGTAAACCTTTTACAAATTCAAAAGATGTATAACTCTGTATGAGCAAAAATGACAGTATTTTAAGTTAAATGCAAATGATCGCACCGGTGCCTCCAAGTTAACGGTCATACAGTGAGTGCGCTACTATTCAGCTTCCACACTCCGCACAAATACGTTAATAGCACACACTTTTCTAGGTTAACGTTAGCGCGAGCGGCCATGTAATGTTGCTACTACTTACATGTTTCAGATGATAAGCCACATTTGAGGTCGATGAACGAAACGAACGTTTGGATGTCCGTCATGGACTACGTGACTTCGCCACTTCCTGTGGAATTTTTTTTCTGCGACTAAGCGACTAATAAGCCTCTTCTCGTTGACTAATGGTTAGTCACTATTAGGGGACAGCCCTACTAGGCCTACTCTATAAAAATTTGTATAAGAATACATTTAGGACAATACATACAAGTCATATAAAGCAAATCTGACTAACTACAGTGGCAAATTCAAATTACAAAGTGAAACTTCATATCACTTTTTGAAGCTCAGCGAAAGACTTGAAATGCAATGCTTTTAAGGCCTGTGCATCTGAAAGCCAACATTACATTCAATGGTCTTATTGCGAAAGTTCCATCAGTGCACATTAAAACAAAGAGATACATTTTTTTCATCAAGACATAATATCTTGACTTAAACCAACAGGTGTCTGCAGTTAACTGATAACTATGTAACACCCACTTTCCACAACCCAATCAATTTCCAGATGAAATCAAGTCCCACCCTAAATGTTGTCCTCGAGTATCTTGTTTCACAAGCCACATTATGGATGTAAAGTGGTGCAAATGTAATTTCATGTTGACTTTAAAGAGACCTGGGTTGTTGACAGTCAATAATATCTATTTATATCCATCTCATCTGGTTGCATTAGTCTTATCTTCTCACCTTCACAGATGCGGTCCAGTCTCTGCCGCTTCACTTTGTGTTTGTCCATCAGAGCCATCGACTGGCAGTTCTTCAGTAAGACCAGCTACAGCCACAACACGCCGAAAGAGAGTGAGGGGGCACAGCACAGCGTTCAGTCCAGAAACCACCCAAAAATCCTTAAAACACCTGCAAAGATGAATTTCGCATGTTACGATTCAGACCAAAAGCGTTCCGAGTTACTGAACACACCACATCCAACCATCACGCCAAAACAAACACCTCATGCATTGCGTCTAGTGAAAAAATCCTACTCATTCTAGAAACGGTTCTCCTTCGCCCACATAAATGACCGATACTTAAGATAGTGGTGGGAAAACGTCAAATAATTAAACTACCCACCTGATGACGTCAAAGCCAGCCAACTACCCTGCTGACGTCACGGACTTTATAACGGCAGCTGAAAGAGAAAATCACACCTTAACGTTAAACAAGCATTAGTTATAAGAACAGAGCCTAGAAACAACATCTTTTATAATAAAAAATATAAAACAGACATTCACAATATCTTCCGAGGCTTTTGAAAGAGATGCTTCTGCAAAGATGAATTTCGCATGTTACGATTCAGACCAAAAGCGTTCTGTTACTGAAGTTACTGAACACACCACATCCAACCATCACGCCAAAACAAACACCTCATGCATTGCGTCTAGTGTAAAATCCTACTCATTCTAGAAACGGTTCTCCTTCGCCCACATAAATGACCGATACTTAAGATAGTGGTGGGAAAACGTCAAATAATTAAACTACCCACCTGATGACGTCAAAGCCAGCCAACTACCCTGCTGACGTCACGGACTTTATAACGGCAGCTGAAAGAGAAAATCACACCTTAACGTTAAACAAGCATTAGTTATAAGAACAGAGCCTAGAAACAACATCTTTTATAATAAAAAATATAAAACAGACATTCACAATATCTTCCGAGGCTTTTGAAAGAGATGCTTCGCTAGCTTTAATGCTGTAGCGCCTCAAAGAGGCTTCATCTAGTTTTAAACTCACTTATTTAGGACCATTTCACTGAAATGATACGTAAAGTCTAAATAACTCTGTAAAACGAGCGAATGAATAAACAAATGAACGTGTTTTCGGAAACAACACATTCAGTTGAGGAAAACCGCATCTTGAGCACTTCGCGATTAACTTCAGTCTCGTTTCTTTGAAATATTTCTCGCTCTTGTTGCTCATATAAGTCCGTGTGAAGCAGGGAAGGAAAAGCGACAGAAGAGCGCGCAAATTATGTGAAATGTTTACAAACCCCGCGAGGCGTCGGGTCGCCGCTCGAAGAGTCGCGTTAAACCCAGCAAATCAGCGGTTCGTTTCGCTCGTTTTAACCGGGGGCGTTGTAGGTTTGTCGCGTCGCTCGCTAGCTGCAAGTTCTTCAGTTAGCCCTGCGCTAGCTAATTAGCACATGCAGCAAGAAACAACGCAACGGACTGCACGATGAACCCCCAAAAGCACACGCTGAGCGAAACACACGAGCTTATTTGTGGTTTTTAACCGCTTTGGTGTCTCGTTGCTTCTCTGACTGTAAACACACACACTGAGAAAGGCGCTTGGACTGGTTGCTAACTGAGCTAACGTTACCAAACATTAAACACAGACAGAGAGAGTGAGAGGTACATAGTCATAATAACACCCGGCAGGCTCACAGCACACACAATCGACAGTCTGATGTGAGTTATGGCTCAAAGATAATCCAAAAGCAGGGTAACGCGCCCCACTCACCCGGAAAAAAACGCGTTTCTGGAGGTTGATGCACGGGTCGGTGTGGTCACGGTAGGCGAATCAACTCTTCCGCGCTATGGCTCGCCATGAAATCCGCACAGAAAAGGAAGTCGAGGCCGCACAGACAACGTGCTGTGGAAAGAGCGAGTGCTCGGAGCAGACCTGAGCGCTGCACGGACGAGCGCCTCCTACCGGTCAGTCTGCGACACTGCGGGCTGCACTTTGGCCCTGCGCTCATTTTCGTTTCTTAATACATCCGATTTACTCGGAGATTGCTATGTAGGGGTTATAGAGGGGTTAGATGTGTCAGGAGGAGAGCCGTCTCGCCACCTAAATTAGCATTATGAGTCACGTGATCATATGTTTAGAAAGGGCCCTCATAAACAACTTGCTGTTAAATTCATTTTTATGCAGCCAGTCTATATATACCATAAATAAAAGGGTGTAAATTAATGTGACCATGAATTATTAAATGAAGCATTTCCCCACAATAGCTTTTCCCCAGCTAAGTGATAGTAAACAGGAAATACCATTACAAAATGTTGAACAATGACATAAGTATTTCTTATGATGTTGAGTTGAGAACCATATAAAGGTTTATGTTGAGCAGACTAGGATGTCCTCCATGGAGACAGAAGATATTTCTCAGAATATTTTAAGATGCTGTGTAAATGTTTTTACATTTATAGAACAGAAGTAACCAAATTCATTTTAACTTGTAAATGAATTAGCATGACACTTAAATCCTGAATATTCATGTCTGTATCTGTCAACTAAAACTCGACTTGAAGGCCCCCCATTGTTCAACACAAAAGACCCTGATATTTCCTCTGGTATTTATGCTCTATGGCATCGCTGCTTGCTTTATTCAAACTTTTTATTAACACAATCAGGCAGTGCTGACATATTGAATAATAATATCAAATAATTTAAACTCTAAAAAAAA